TATTTGTTGTAGTCGATCTCATATCGTTATTTGGAAAAATATAATAAAAAATAAATTTTTCGAACATTATTGCTCTTTAATAACGTATTTTTTTCAATATTCAAACAAGAAATCTTACTATCCGTGACGGGTGTGGCCGAAAGACGCTTTTTTATGTTACATCTAGTAACGTAATATCGAAACTCCAGCTTTTAATTGGAACTTACCAAAACTTGACAAATTCCAGACAATCCTGACATACCCTAACCCTATCTGTTAATATTACTGGTATTTTTTAGTAAAAAATGGTAACACGATTACCGAACATCGTAAAGAAACATTGAACAAGTGTACGTAAAATTAAAATAAACATTAAGCAATGATGTAAATTTTTACAAAAATAAGATAAACTTGAATGTTATTATTAAAATCAAATGACAGAAATTTATATTTACTGAAATCTTCAATTAATCTTTCAAATAATTGATTGTATTAATGCAGTGGCAATGCCATCATGAAATGTTACTTTTTATAATTTACCACTTATTTACTTATAATTAGTTATATTTATTTTTTTTTATTTTTCTTTAACTCAAAGATGCAGTAATTGATGTTGTTTAACTGTAAAATTTCACATTTAATCATAACATTTAACGCCTTTTATTTTAAAAATTAACTCCGTACTTTACTATTCATCAATCAGGTGAACTTTAATTTACTGGATGACCCATAATATAAAACGTGGTAGAAGAATTGAATAAAATATATGTTAATATTCCAAATTTTCACCACATTAAAATCTTTAGCTTCCGATATTATGTAATAAGATTGCATTTATTAGTAAATTTCATAGAAATCTAACTATTGCATTGGTCTTCATGATGGAACATCCGAAAAATTTTGCAATTTTCCCTCTCAGTTTGTCGGGCAGATTTAGAAAATACATCTTGTTCAAAATTTTATATATGTATATGTATACATATTATATACATGTATATACGATAGAACGTGGCTTGTCACGACGAAAGCGTTTTCAATTAATTACCGATCCTTTCTATACTCAACATGCTTGATCTATCGATAATGTACATATACATTACCTATTATTAATAGTTATTTTTTTAAATACATAAAAAGATCAAATTTCAGAATAAAAAAATTCACACGCATATTCATCTCGTTTATTCAATTCGAAGTAATCACTCCGCATACTTGATCGTTTGATAATATTTTTTAGATCATTATCATTACAACGTTCTTTAAATGATATTACTTGTTGATCGGGTAAATGAATAGGCAAACGAATGACAGGATGACTTTTTTAATGTTTTTTTAACTTCCCGCTAAAAAAATTGAAAATTTTCCGAAAAATGGGAAGTTATTGATTACGGTACGATTTTCGAAAGTCGAGTTTTCATCGGATCTCCACGTTTTAAGGTCCCAGGAAGCCATTCTGACTATTCCCGCCGAAAATGACTATTCCCGCCTGGAATTTTACAGTTAAACAAGAATAATTACTGCATCTTTGAGTTAAAGAAAAATAAAAGTACTAATTATAAGTAAATAAGTGATAAATTATAAAAAGTAACATTTCATGATGGCATTGCCACTGCATTAATACAATCAATTATTTGAAAGATTAATTGAAGATTTCAGTAAATATAAATTTCTGTCATTTGATTTTAATAATAACATTCAAGTTTATCTTATTTTTGTAAAAATTTATATCATTGCTTAATGTTTATTTTAATTTTACGTACACTTGTTCAATGTTTGTTTATGATGTTTGGTTATCGTATTTCCATTTTTTACTAAAAAATACCAGTAATATTAACAGATAGGGTTAGGGTATGCCAGGATTGTCTGGACTGTCAAATTTTGGTAAGTTCCAATCAAAAGCTGGAGTTTCGATATTGCGTAACTAGATGTAACATAAAAAAATCTGAAAAACGGTCGACCCTGCAGGCCATCCCAGGAACTTCTTGTTATATGTGACGATGTTTTGGGTTGCGGTCAACCAGTCAGATCGACAACATTCCGAATTATTAAAACTCTAGAAAATTTAAAATTCCGCTGCATTCAAAGTTTATAAAATACATTAGCTTAAATAGAATACCAGCCGAAAAACAATTTTGTGAATTATAAAACACCGGGTTATCGAATATAAGTAAATATAAGTCTTATATTCCTCAAGAGTTAAAATTAATTTGATTTCGAAAAAGGTTCGTTTCGACGTATATTCATCCGAATACTCATCTATACGAATAATGATTTGGCCGAAAATTACTCATCCAAAAAATTGTAAATTTTTCTTAGATGGTCCACCTTTACAAGCATGAAATTTGAGTGTTTTATATGCATGCTTGTAAATTAAAATAAAATTCATTTAAAAAAATTAATTAATTTAGAATTAATTAAAATAATTCATTTAAAAAAATTTCTAATCTGAATATAAAATTATATACATTTTTCGGCTAAATGAGTGTTCGTCTGTTCATTCATTTTGACGTACAAATTTTCGTTGTTATGTTTTTTAACTTATTGAGACTTTGTGACTTTGAAAGATTCTATTAATATAGCTTTAGTATTTTCTTTATAGACTATATTTTTCGGAATTTTAAAATTTGTAAAATTAATTATTTTAAATTACATTTAATATTTACTTTCTAAGTTCTAGTAATTTATTAATTCAGAATGTTGTCAGTCTAAGTTGACTAAGTTGACTGCAACCCGATGTTTTGACCTCGTGGAGCTTTCGAAAACAGTTCTTACACATCTTTTAGCTCTTAAAGCTCAAAAATCAAGTAGTTATACTGGTAAAAACACTTGTTCGAACATTTTACATTGCGACATTCCCCAAACAAATCAATCAATTTTGAGGATGTTTGTAGCAATCTAGGTTATGTAATATTTAAGTTTGAAGAGCATATAAATGTTTTGTCTCGGAGCTTGTAGAGCTTAAAACAGCTGTAATACCATATTTTTGAGCTTGAAACTATCGTATTAGGTGAAATTTGAAGCCCTTTGTATTTGAAATTAACGGGAAGTTGCAGGAATAGTCTGTAGGGTCAATCGTTTTACTATTTTTTTCATAACAAAAATGACCACATCACTTTAATATACCATTTCTTTATAAGTGTATCATTATGTGATATCGATCATTTCTATGAAGTATGAATAATTCAAGCGACTCATCAAAAAAAATTCACGTGATAGGCTTTGGACAACTCATTGTTTATTGTCAAATGAAAATTCTGACTAGATAAAGTTCGACTTAAATAAAAAAATTATTGGTATATGCGTGAGATAGCATTAATCTATTTTGCTAATCGTTGCTCAAAGCACGAGTTCCACGAACTCATTATTTTTAATGCTGATGTCGACTATTGAGATTTATCGTAGATTTAAAGATAGGCACGTCACAATAGTAGTGTAGGAACCAAAGATCAAAGAGTATACTGCAGTATTGGTTTTCCTTGTTGTCAAAGTTACGCACTTTGAAGTTGTCCATGCTCTCACGAGCAATGAACTTAAAGGTACATTAAGAAGATTGTTTTTTTTTCCTCAATAAATTCTATGATACGTTCGTAAATCATAAATCACCTTGATTTGATTTTTTTTTTTAATTTTTCACTTGAGTAATAATCCGCCACTATTAGACACGTTCAAAGGAGTATACCTATTTAAATTAAAGAGTTTGTGGTCTTAATTGCTAAAAGTATCTATTAACAATTTAATTATACACAAAAAGTGTTGAAAAATTTGATTAATTATTAAAATCAAAATGTTTCATTCTTTCAACAATTTGACTTTCAGAAGACTTTCTGATGTAAGATTCATAAATTTCTCTTATAGGATTAAGGGTGGTTCGAAGCATGAAGAAATTATTATTTTCAATTTTTTTTTTTTGACACACTAATCAAATTCTATTTATAAAGTCAATAATAGCGACTTAATAATTCCCTAATTTTCAAAAATAATTGAGTTTCATTTCAGAAATAAATGATTTAAAAGGGCTAGCTTTCTGTATTTTCAAGGAGTATAAAAATTTTTTGAATTTTTCGAATTTGCGTTTCAAAATTGTTCAAATCAATTACAATAAATTAATTTGCTCTCAAAGATAATTTCTATTTCCAGCTTTGAAAATTAATGATAAGAAAATTAGGAATTTATTAATTTCATTTCAAAAAAATTAAAAAAAAAGCGTTCTTTTATTAATCACTGCTGAACTCCAGGATAGATCAATTTTCTCCATTAAAACTTTATTTTTACTTGAAAAACTGCCTCGAATGCTGCAAATCATATCAAAATCAAAAAATTTATTATAAAACTGTCGCAATTTAAAAAATTTTTTAGATTTTTGAGCTAAAAGATCTCAAAAATAAATATAAATACCTTTGAGCTCGGAAAGCTTTGATATTTTCATATCTTTAGATATTCATACGGTATGATTATGGACATAGCGGGAAGTTCCCGCCTAGAAATAAGGTTATCTCAAGATTGATCGGAGACGAAGTATGATTTAGGTTTCCTTCATGATGCATATAATATATAATAAACCATAAATTTAGACCAATTTTCTAAATTAAGGTCTGCTCAAATTCCTTGCTTTGCCCACAAGTTTTGACAATGACATGCTAATCGAACTTTACATTACTTAACCCTATTATGGTTACATCTTCGATCTTTTATTTACGAGTAAACTTAGTCAAGATATGTTTGCTCTAGTATAAATGTACTATTTTGTACTAGAGGTCAATGTTTTAATCAATGATTCAATTTTATTTGGGATTTAAATCTATTAACTTCTAACCACTTCGAGTCAAAATTAGATTATAGATTGACAAGCAGCATCTAGATTATTATCTTTCATTTTTGAAACGATTAGTTTCATCTCAGTGTTGCATGAATACACACTCATCATTTTATCATAACGTGCTAAACAAATTATTGTTTTAAAAATCTTAATGAAATACAGATTTTTTAAATGATTGTGACTAGACTTACAGAATATTTCAAAAATGAAGCTGGAAATGATCATGAATCGAGAGAAAAATCTTGAGCTTTTTGGAAAGCTCATCCGAACAAAAAAGATAGAAAATCTGCAAGGTGATCAACAAAGAAGCCATCAACCTGCTGATTCTAGTGATGCTAAACAGAAATTACAGGTAAACTAATAAAAACCATAAATTTAATTTTACATATATATATATATATATATATATATATATATATTAGGGTGTGCCAAAATTCAATTTCCGTGAGGAACCTTTTAAAATTGGAATTTTGAGTTCCGCTTTTAACAGAAGCTGTGTTTGGGCATTATTTCCTGAGATATTTTGGGGGGGAGTGGATTTATTTGATTTTCATAGAATTTTTTAACAGGAGCTTTGTTTGGGCATTTCTGCTGAAATTCCCGCATTTTGCCGGATATATATAAATCTGTGTATAATCACATGTATTAAAGCACTTACTATTAATAAATCAATACTAATTGATCAAATGATTATAAATATTAATGGACTTGTTTCACAGGTTATTGTATGTTCATGATGTATTACTTAATTGAATTTGCCATTGTCTTTTGAATATTGAATATGCTTATCCGATACATATTTCCTACCCAACATTCGCTTTTAGAAAATTATCAGGATATTAAGACATGACGTATGAGTTGACACAATCTCGATTAAATCTCGCTTAGCATATTGTATCGCCGATTGGATTTTATATTGTAATAATTTTTTTTTAAATAAAAAAATAGGAGAGAAAGATTTCTTTAAAGTGGATAATCAACTTTTGTTTATCAACATATATATATATATATATATATATATATAATTCTTTTGTTTTGGAGTAGATTTATTTCAAAATTCAACTATAGTCTTTGTCATTTGCACAAGATGGTTATTTACTAATATAATCAAAATTTTTGAACACCCGAGTCGAATAAATGTACTTAGATGGACTTAAATCAAATATTTTAGTATAGCAGTTAAGTTAATTTAAGTTAATTTTTTCAACTCGGGCAACTGCGAAAAATAATCATGATCCACTCAATACGATTTGCTGTTACGTTATACAAGCTTAGTTATCGAGAGGTTAGTTTGTAATTGAACACTGAAATAGATTGCTGTGGTAGTGATTGAAATTGTTATTAACATCTATACAAATCGCTCCCATGATGAAACTCTGTTATTGTTGTGTTGTAACAATACTTTACGATAGTTACAATAGCAAAAATTTTTTTCTTTTTAGTGCACTCATGTATTTTTGTTTGTGAACTTTATACTTCATTGCTCAAGTAATCGTTCTTTGATTTGTTGAAATTTTAGAACATTATTAGTCTTTGACCATTTTTTTTCACAATTTCGTTAAAAATGCAAAAAAATTTATATTTTTTAAATTCATATACGATAAACTCACTAATTGGCAATTCAAAAATTAAATTTTTAATTTTTTGAGATTAAAATTAGGATAGACTCCACTTCATAGTTCAGGTATCAATCGCCAAGCACTAATCGATGACAAAGTAATCCGAACATCAACTGCCGTAGTTTTAAAAATTAAAATTAATTTTGTACAAAAACTAACGTTTTGAGAAAAACATTTTTTTATTTTTTTCTTTTGACCGCCGTTATTTAAAAAGAAGTTTGTGTATAGGTTGATTTTTGAATAAAAAAATTTTATTGAGTTGCTTAGATGATTTTCATAATAACGAAAGTAAATTATGGTTATTAGTTTGTCCAATTTATTTTTAACTCCGCGGAGTTAAAGGCCTTTAATATTTTCTATTCTGAATGCAGAACTCGTACTGCTCTGTTGAGAAAAAGTTCATATTTTTCATTCCGTAGCAAAATAAAATTTTCGACAATTATTAATTAACTAATGGTGTTATTATAAATATTATAATTAATCATGAGCACTTTTATTGTTATTTTCATTATATTCTAATTTGTATATTATTGTATCCACTATTGCAAAAATTATTTTGTATACCTTGCCATTTGGCAACAGCCTTGGCATTATTAAATAAATAAATAAATAAATAATAATTATATAGACGTAAAGCATTTGAGGATTCTAAAAAAGTGCTCAAGAAATAATTAATAGGTATGAAATTTATATTAAAAAGATCCTTTGCGCTACTTTCTTTCTTATCACAACTACAAAATGTATTTGATTGAAACAAAGTTAGCTCAGTAATACTTTGAAAATTGCTTTGAGAGAATATTTTTTTTTCCATGAGCAGTGATTAAGTTCTAAAAAAAATTAGTAAAAGTTATGAGAAGAAGCAATTATTAATATATACCACCGATAAACCATAGAATTTATAAAAAATATTTAACATTCTAGAAGTGCCTGACGACTTTAGACTTGACGTCCCTTGGAGTTGGTTCCTGTGTTGGAACAGGAATGTACCTGGTAGCGGGAATGGTAGCTCGAAGTGTCGCTGGACCAGGAGTTGTTATTTCATTCATAATAGCAGCAATCGCTTCTATTTTTTCTGGTGAGTATAAAATGAATTCATAAATTGTTTCTTTCTTAATGCAATTATGATAACTCATAATGTTCAATATCACTCCCGGGGATAAAAAAATTATTTGAACAATGTTTGCTGATATTTTGCAATACAGATTCGAAAAAAATGTAAGACAAAATAATAATAATAATTTATATTCTTTTTTCAATTTTGATCGTCATTTTTTGTTCGACAAGAATAATTTGCGTGCAGTAATTGAATTACCGCACCCAAATAACCCTTTAATGTATACATAACACACGTTGTGATTATAACATAAGTAATCGGTTATTTACCCAACTTAAAAACGTGAGCTAACATAGTACTTATTTCACATGAGTAATGAAAACAATTTAACCTCTAATAAATTCTCAATATGTAGTGTATAACTTTCTTATGATTCTATTTTTCAAAAAAAAAAGAAGCTTTATTAATTACGATATTTTAGAACGTAGGTACTGATATACGACAAAATATGAGGGTCATTATTTTACCTTAAAGCATCGTTTTATAAAAGAATATGACAAAAAAATTTTTTATCATTATTTTAAGTGTTAAACTAAGATTAAGATCTTTTTTAAAAAGCAATATTTTTAATTTTCCTGTAAAAAATTGAAGATCCTGATGATAATTTCTTCTTTACTTTTCAGGTGCGTGCTATGCCGAATTTGGTGTCCGAGTGCCTCATACAACTGGAAGTGCATATATGTACAGTTATGTGACAGTTGGAGAATTAATAGCATTTATAATTGGATGGAATATGGTTCTCGAATATCTTATTGGTACAAGTGCATGTGCTTGTGCCTTGAGTGCTTGCTTGGATGCCCTGGTAGATGGCGCTATTTCTAGCGCAATCGGCAATGGTTTTGGAACATTTTTTGGTAAGTAACTGTTAACCCTAGACTGGTCACCAAACGCGACCTAACGACTTTGGTCGAGTGATGAGGGATTTGCCGCAATGTTTTTAGAGCGTACAGTGTTGCCAGTTCATTCACGCTTGACAGGCAGACGTGAGGTAGAGACTAGAGGTGTTTTCGGCAACGCCGCGGACAAAAAACTACTTACGACTCTGGTCAAGCGATGAGGAAAGCCCCGCAAATTTTTTTAAGAAATTTTTTTTCAGCAATTTAACGTTTTTGAAGATGTTTGAAAAAATTATTAATATATTCTAAAATGTTCAAGGAACAAATACAAATTTTTTTGAATAATTTTAGTAAATATTGAAGATGTAATAAACAAAATATAATTGAGCGCGGCGTCACGCTCATAGGGTGACCAGTCTAGGGTTAAGACAATAATGAAAAGAAAAAAAGTAAACAAAGTTTAGGTCGTATTTACCACTAGAGTAACTCATAAGTCCATGAAAAATGTTGCTCCGTTCATTCTATTTTCTTAGAAATATCAGTGACCTAAGATATTTTTCAGAAAAAACTCAATATCTAGCGGTTCTTCTCAATTTATAGGCACTGATCGCTGTAACTTGTCACCATCCGTATGGTTACAACGACGACAGATCCGTTTAAATTACTTCGGGTTCAGTTTTTCAAGTCGATGCGTTAAACAATTATTGTTAACTTAAACGTGTCGCTGACAGTTCTATAAAGCATAGATATATACTTATACGTACATACCTATCAGACACATTATATCAGATGATGGAACTACATTTTCGTTCATTCGTTGGTAGATATCAGCATGGATGCAAAAAAGACGTGCTACCTTCAAGTCGAGTATGTTACTCTAGCAAAAAAGAAATACCAAGAAAATAACGAGTCTAAAACCTCTTCATAAATAAGAATACTTTGCCTCCTGATGGAGTTCTCATCACGAACGTCATACCATAATGTTTCATAAATATCATTATTATTTATACTTTTTATCCTGGAAAATATATAATAGTACTGTACATGGCATAGCTTTATTTCTTTTTTATTATAATTATTTGTTTAAAATTAGATTCATGAGGTTAAAAGAAAAATTGAGTTCGTAAATAGCTTTTAACTAGGTGAAATTTATAAATTTTCAAAAATACTACTCTATACAGTGTACACTCATGAAAAAATTCACGATTTGAGCAAATTTTACTTGACTTAAGATAATTCAAGATTTATTTTTCACATTTATTTTCTCATCAATGAACATTATTGTTATACGTGAAATAATATCAAAGTATTTATGATTGTATCATAAGGTCTGACTGCCAGTTGTTTCGTCGTAAATAATTAATCAACCGAATATTATAAAAGATCATAAAAACTGGTGTTGATTATTATGAATTGGAAAGGATATTAGTAGTTATTTGGAAATTATTTTGTAACAATTATACCTTTCAATATCGTAACTAGTGTTTAAAACCTGTGACGGAGGTCCGTGCATTATTGTTTAATTTCCTTACCAGAGTAATTATTTCCTTTTGCTTTCTTAAAGAGATCTTATCCGTATCTATCGATTCCAAAAATTAATCAACTCTTGACATCAATAAAATATGTTGATTGTCGCAAACCGCTTCAAAATCGGTTAATTCGTTTAAGAGAAATCATTGTCGGAAAATTTGGAAAAAAGTGTTTTACTTTTATAACTTCGGAATTTCGTTTCGAATCACTTAATAAATAATCAATCTTTTTGTACTCAAAAAATTGCGTCGATTACCACAAACCGCATCAGAATCGGTCAAATTGTTCAAGAGAAATTCAATTTCAAAAAATTCCAAAAGTATTTTTTTTTATATAACTTCAAAATTTTACGTTAAATCGTTTGGTAGCCAACAAATAATCTTTTTTGCTCGAAAAGCTGCGTTGAATATTGCAAATCCTATCAAAAACGATTGATTTGATCGGAAGATATCGCAATTTAAAATTTTCAAAAAAGTATGTATTGACAACCACTAAATTTTCGAGCTCGAAGAGCTCAAAACTGGAATAAACAATTCACCGAGCGTTTTGAACACGTGCATAGCAAGAAGTTTCAGGGATGGTCTTCAGGGTCAATCGTTTTCCAGGTTTTTTTTTTTTTTTATTTGAAAACTATAAGTTGAGCCCCTAAAAATCCGTCAATATGTAAAAATATCACGTCTTAATCAAAAAGAAAAAAAATTTGGTATTGAAGATAGGGTTATACTCTAGCTTACACTATAGTAAATAGTTTGTAATGTATGTAACATGGCTCAAAATTAAACATATTTGAGAAAATCATACCGAAAGATGAATTATTATTTTTGATAAACATTCTAAATATTGACTGTCTATCTACTATCTAATGTTAAATTACATTAGGTATTGATAAATGAAATTATTACTAAATATGTAGTAATAGCAAAGTATTAAATTTATTGAATTCTTTGTAATTGGTTAGTTATTGTTTCCAAAAATGATTGAGTAGAAGCAATGGGGTTGAAAAAAATAGAAGAGAGACGAACGCTTGCGCAAGACACTCAATGTCTAGCACCTGTGGACCTCATCGATCCGATTCGGTTATACAAGAAAAGTGTTATATCGACTATCACTACATTTGTACATGTAATTTTACCATTGTCGTTTTACTAAAATACATTTTCATTCTTGATTCCTCTTTTCTTATCGCTCTACAATAATTAACCTTACTGAAAGTAATTATTGAACTGTAATGAGCTAATTAATTAATTAAATTATACATACCCCCATGAGTGTTGTATATGAACTAATCCCAACCACAGTGAATCACAAATGAATTTTATTTGCTTTGATAAATCGATTCACTCTTCGAAATTACTTCGTTAACTTGATTAATACCAGAAGTCATTTACATCCTCTATATTATTTGAAAGAACAATTATCTTTACCTCATTGGATATAAAAATTAAAAATTTATAATCAGATTTTTATTAATGTATTATTAACCATTAGTTAGTTCTAGAATAACAATTTCACGTCGTATTCATGTAAATTTATAAAATTATCTTCTTTTTCAACACTATATACATGTTTTTCCTAAATAATTAAGCCGTACTATGAGAAACAGAGATCTATTTAGGTATAACCACACTAAAACTTAAAACGAACATTATTACGGAGTAGAACTAATTTTTAGAAAAACGTCTGATCAGTTTTATCTTTAAAAAAAAAATTTAAAGAATAGAAAATCATTACAAAGCGACAAGTCCAGAGCACACCCACACGTTTGCGAGTTGTGAGGTGTGCAAAAAAATAAGAATAAGTTAAACAAATAGTTTAAAATTTCAAAAAGCATGTTTTTCTACATTATCGACAGATCGTATTAGTGTAACACTTTTTTACTGTAGCGCTGCTTAAAGAGTGAGATTATAAAAAAGTACACTCGATTCTGCTTAAAGATGCTCAGATGCTCTTTCTAGACACGACCTCCTGTTAAATGCATGTGCTCTTGATTCTCATCGTACATATTTATTATCTGATGCTTGTTCTAGATAAGCAAGCAACAAAACATAAATTTTAGCAGAACTTCAAAATGCGCGCTGAATCTATTAATTCTGATACGTCATTCAAGACAAAGTAGAATTTTACAGACCAAAAGACCACGGTACCTTTATTTTAATATTTTTCGTCATGCATGTCATAGTAAATAAATTAAAAAAGAGGAGCCATTCGGCAGACGAAACGGAAGTAGATCGATTGTAATCTAATAACCTCTTAACCTCAGAAAACAACATCAATTGCCGCAAATTGCATCAAAATCGGTCGATTCGTTCAAGAAGTATTGTTATCGAAAAATTTGGAAAACAATATTTATTTCAAATAACTTCAAAATTTCTTCTCGGATCATTTTTAACGTAGTAAGTTCACTGTTAGTGCTTGAAAAAATGCGTCGAACGCCGCTAAGTTGATAGATGTCGGTCAAATGGTTCGTAAGATGTTTGATTAAAAAAAAAATTTTTTTTAAATTAGGAAATCGGTTGACCCTGAAGGCTATCCCTGCAACTTCCCGATCTGCCAGTTCTTCGAGCTCAAAAATATACTTCATGAGGATCAATGCAATAGTTAGATTCCTATGAAATTTACTAAAAATGAATGATAAATGTAATATTTTGTTTTGATTATGGGTAAAAATTGTTATTGATTGAAATTTTTTTTCATAATCTTTCTATCACAATCAGGTATAAATTTCTTCTGAAATATAGTTTATTGTAACTCCTTAGTTGAGCAATTGTTTTCTTTTTAGTCAAACTATTGATCGAAGTCGTTTTCTGGAATATCAACAGATTGTTTCAATTTATCGGTCTAAGTTATAAATCGAAGAAAGTTTTATGACACAATTTATATATGTAACCTAGCTGAAACTTTTGGTGATTACAATGTAAGTGATGAGAATAAGTTTCTGAGCGAATGGGAAATTTTTATTTTAGACGGAAACGGAAACTTTACAAACTAAAAACTATACTAATATTGGAAAATGTATCTAAATTTGACATACGTTCTAAGATGTCGTAACCCAAAAAATTTGACAATGACTGTTTATGAGCATAATAACATTATTTACTTCATATTAAAAGTTTAAAGGTTAAATAATTTAATAATTTCAAATCTCATTTAACTAACGGTAGAATTGAATCATTTACCGTCAGCTGTAAAATTTTTTAATTATGGGTTACGGCATTTTAGAACGTGAGTATCAAAATTTATTAAAAAGTTTGTTTCATATCTACCGCTAAAAGTTTTTTGAACTGAATTTATGATGTGTTTGCTTGAAACGTGTGGTGCATCGATTTTCATATAAAACTTTTCGAGGAGAACCGAGTAACCAGTCGGAATATCCAAGGGCATAATGTCGATGTCGGAAATTTCCGGCCTCAATGTTCAAAATATATTCAATGCAATATTATCCAATGGGCAAAATAAACATCCATTGCAAAAATCTCCAATGTGATAAAAGTCTAATGAGTTTACTATCCATATTAGGGGTAATAGGGAATTCAGGGGTGATGCCCGGTGGGGAGTTAGGGAAGGGGTGGAGTCCTTCCCACTTTAAGTAAAATTGTCTAAATGGATAATTTTATTGGTAATGACTTGGACTTGGTAATGAGCGTCTTTATTCCCAACAAAATATTCTCTGACAAAAAAATAATGATGATAATGATAGACCAAAATATCGCCAATAAGTAAAAACATAAGAGGTATTTTTGTCCTGAGATATTTTTCACTGAGGCGTTATTATTGAAATATTTCGGCTGAGATAAAAAGAGAGGTTCCCCAAAACATCAATGACCGTAGCATAAGAAAATAGGGGATTTGGTAAAAAATTACGTATCAAACCAAATAAAAATAGGCTCTAATTCACAATAAAAATAGAACTAAAAAAAAATAAAATACTTTCATCAATATTTGTATAGCAATATTATCACTTCATCATTGAAATCACTTTCTCCTCAGTTGTTTTCTTACCACGATATTTTGTTTGGAGGATTTTTAACCGGGGTTGTTTGGTAACTGAGTTGTTGTGGCATAGAGTTATTTATGTACAGAGTTTTTTTGATACAAGCTAGACATACTGGGTCCTCTTTCATGATATCTGTAATGCGATATATGACTTTTATAAATTCAATTTTCTACGATTTTGAAAATTTTTAAGAATTTCGAATGATCTCTAAAAAATTTTTAATTGTGCTGATTTTCAAAGGAAGTTTTTATAACCTAATGAACTAACATATTTTTACTAAACAAATTTTTATAAACATATCATAAAGAGATATAATTTACATAAAAAAAACGATAATACTAAAGTTAGCCGACATTTAAAATTTTTTTTTAATTATTAAATTAAAACGAAATCAATTTTTTAAAAATTGCACATAGTTTTTTCAGTTTTTTATAAATGAAAATTTTTTTTCATTTTTTTGTGATAATTTTTACAATAAAAATAATTCTAAAAATTTTTAGATGTCGGCTAACTTAATTTTCATAAAAAAACGTTAAAAAAGTACATTGTAAAATCAAACTATTAAATTTAATCATTAACCTGTTTCAGGACGACCACCTGATTTCATTGCCTTTGTAATTACATTATTGATGATGTTACTATTAGTAGCAGGAGTCAGAAAATCCTTAGTATTTAATAATATTTTAAATGCTATTAATCTCGCTGCCTGGGTTTTCATAATGGCCGCCGGAATGTTTTACGTCGACTCAAGTAACTGGTCTGAACATAAAGGATTTCTACCGTATGGTTGGAGTGGGGTAAGTTTTTATTATATTTTCTTTGCATTTGTTGTAAAAACTTTGTTACCGAAGTCTACTTCTAACATTGGATAGAAAAAACATATGAAATATGTTTTGCATTACAAGCGCCAATATTTTGAAGGAAACTCTCAGCTCAATAACTTAACAACAAATTTACTAAAGCATATTCAAGTTTTTTAAACTATTATCGTTTCATATATTATAATTACATGTATATAAGTGATTTACTAATTTCAAAAATTTTCATGTAGACAATAGATTACTGATATTCAGTATTCAGATATTAAATAAAAATCGTGAAAAGGCGCGCAGTAGTCTATCGGATCCGGCCCTTGCTACCAAAGCATTAGACCGGGTTCGAATCCGGCGTACACCAATGAATATTTTCAATATTTAAGTGTATATTATTCTGCTCAGCCCAAGAAATACAAACGAGTTCCAATCTCAAAAGTTTACCCCCTACCGTAGTCGCTCATGACCTTAGTAGTTTATGCGACTTTAAACAAATTAAAAAAAAAAAAAAAAAACATTTTTTATAGTCAATTAGTTCTACACGTATTTGAAAGCAACAAACAATTCTCAGGAACGGTTGATTTTACAGGCTAATCTCAAAGTTCGTCTACTATTGGGTCTCACCTGACTCAAACGACAACATATTTGAGTATAAAAATCCTTAAACTAAAAAATTTTTACTTGGTTTAAGTAAATTTTACTTAATTCAAGAATTTTTCGTCTTGATTCAAGACAATTACTCTCTTCAAAATTATTTTCTTGGTTCAAGAATTTTCCTCTCGAATCAAGTTAATTTTTTTTTCAGTGTACATAGTATGTAGGTGAATATGGTGGTAGCGAGCAGTTGATGATTTTGTTTCAGATTATTTGTGTTGCATCAATTAATGATCACTTTTTTTTTATAAAAATTCTAAAAATTATCTTCTTGACGGACCTGATTTAATTTTTAATCGTATCGGTGAAGAGAGTTTTTACATATTTTTAATCAATTAAGGAGATTTTCACGCCAATTTAGACTTGTCTAGTTATATGTTGGTTTCCATTACTAGTGATGGCAAGATTAAATTGGCGTGAAAATCCCTCTTAATTAATAAATAAATTATAGTCACGAAACAATAAAAACTAAAATTTTTTATTAATATAGAGAGAAATACATAAAATTTCTCAATAATTAAAAATCCGTGACATCAGAAGCATAGAGCATACACTCAAGGGGAAAAACCTTTCAAAAGATCTTGTCAAATGAAAAAGAACCCCTTAAAACGTATTTATTAGTAGGGCTGTCAGAGTCACACATAGATTGAAGGATTTGTTAATATTAAATAAGCCTTGATAACTGTTAATCAATGATTTTTAACAGTTGAGAAATATTCATTAATAGTTATCCATTTTTATCAGATATAGTAAACAAATATTTATAAAATGTTAACAATTATTTTTTTATCTTTAAATAAATGAACAAATTGTTTCCAAACAAATAAAGTTATTAATAGTTCCTAAATTCATTTATCAGTGTTTATTTTACTATACGTAAAAAATGATCGTCGGGCTAGAAGTGTTTTGTAAAGTCCGCTAATTTTGTCATAATTTGAATTCATTATAATGTCTACACTATATACTTAATATGTAAATATTCAAATAGAAATTCGAATTAATATCCTCGTTAATATTACAAAGTTCATACAACTTTGTGGATTCGATTACTACATAAATATCATTCAACCAGACTGTAGAATCTTTCACGGTTCTGAGATAATTTATAGCCAATAACTATTTCTTACATGATTGTATTGTCTTAGTGATATATTTGTAATTTCAACAAGAGCTACATATCTGGAGACTATTGTAATTTTACAATGATATGTCTATCATCGGTTCCATAATAGATTTCTTGTGAATTAATAAATTGATATATTTAACGACAGTCTTTGCTATTGTATAATTACGAAACATTTCATACTACATCAGATGACTTGAACAAACTTCACTTTTTTTTATTTATATAAAAAATAAAAATTTCTATTTCTCGATTTGAAAATAAATAATTTTCAAAAATAGACAATTATTTATTGTACTCTGATTTTGAACAATTAAAAAATAAAAATCTAAAATAATACTTTTTTATTTTTTAGATAACTTTTATTAGTAAATTTTTTAGCGTTTTAAGCTCTGAAATAGTGGGAAGTTTCCGGGATAGTCTACAGGATCAGAAACAGGGTATTAGCCTGCAAAACCAACCGTTTCCCTCAGAAATTACTCGGAAAGAAGTGTTCTTTAAAAATTATCGTTAAATTCACTGTAATTGTGGGACAAAATGCAGCCCTTAAGTTATTACCATTTTTAAAATGAAAATTACGAAAAAAAATTCATTTATTTTATGGTAAATGAAATAAAATTTATGGAAAACTTGATAAAATTTACGGTAAAATTCGTTGAAAAAATCTTAAAAATTATCTCACTTATCGACAAATGATAAGGTCATGCCATCTATCCCACGATTACTGTAAATTTGTACAGCAATTAAAAAAAAAATAATTTGTCTATGTATAACTAAAAAGAATTTTCAGAGTTATTTTTTCAGTGACCCGCGTATATATTTGAATTAGAATTTATCCAGCCTATTTGGTCACAATGACTAGTGAATCTAATTTAAGCCAACAGATGGACATTCCATCTTCCCTTTATTGTTTGAGAGTTTTATTCTTTTCATCACGTTAGTTCGATGGGAATCCATCAAACTTGAATACTAGTAAAGCTGGAAGCTTGTGGTATCTGTTCGAATTATAAAGATGTTAATTGAATGACAGATAGTGAAAGAAATTTGAATGAGAGCAAAGATGAACTTTGAAAAAATAAATGGGGTTGCAACCATGGTTGCCAAGCCAGGAATCGAACCTGGATCTTCCTGATAACATTTATTTTTTCAAAAATATCTTTGATAACATCTTTATAACTCGAACAGACACCACAAGCTTCCAACTTTACTAGTATTCAAGTTTGATGGATTCCCATCAAACTAACGTGACGAAGAGAATAAAACTCTCAAACAATAAAGGGAAGATGGAATGTCCATCTGTTGGCTTGAATTAGATTCACTAGTGATTGTGACCAAATAGGCTGAATAAATTCTAAACTAAAAAGAATATTTTGCTAAATCGAATTCGCAAAATTTTAAAAACTAAATCAAACTGTCTTTTTCTTAAAAGCAGTTATTTCTTATTATATCGAACTATTTTTATCTAATGACGAACTCATTTTGTTTTTCTTAGGTGTTTACTGGTGCCGCGACATGTTTTTATGCTTTTATCGGTTTTGATATTATTGCAACAACAGGAGAAGAAGCAACCAATCCAAAACGAAGTATTCCATTAGCGATAGTTACATCACTTCTTATCATCTTAACTGCATACGTAACAAGCAGCATGGTTTTGACATTAATTGGTAAGAATCATCCAGGGTATATTTGTTCACCAATTACAATTTTCAATAAAATCTATACTATGTCAATTTTTCAGTTCCATATGATCAAGTAGATACAGATTCAGCGCTAGTAGACATGTTTGGCCAAGTTGGAGCGAACAAATGCAAATATATTGTTGCAGTTGGAGCAGTAGCAGGATTAACTGTTTCTATGTTTGGTAGCATGTTCCCAATGCCTAGAATAGTCTATGCTATGGCTCAAGATGGACTTATTTTTCGGTAAATACATAAAATCGCTAGATGTGATACACAATCCGATACATAACTAACATAATTTTATGATTTTAGAATTTTCAGTCAACTCTTACCTTTGACAGGCACTCCAGCCTTAGCGACTTTCACGTCTGGAGTTGCTGCTGCTTTTGTTGCACTTTTAATCCGATTGGATGTCTTAGTGGAAATGATGTCAATCGGTACTTTATTGGCTTACACACTCGTATCAACATGCGTTCTTATTCTCCGTTATCAGCCCCATTCAACAAATTTAATTGAGCTGCTACCTCAAAGCCTACGTACACCTTGTCGATCACCACCAAAGGAGACGCAAAATAATAGCTCAACCACGTATAGCAAAGAATTACGTTCCGATCAACTTACCAGTGCGTTGAACACGATACATGCAACTCAAACAGAACTTACAACGAATAGTAATGGTCAGCGGGTTACTGTCCGACGTGTTCGAAGAGCGAATAGCTCGTCTCCAGAATCAGACGATACATACGGTGCAGAAGAAGATGACGTTGGTCTGGGTAAAGATGACCAATATCTAGTCAGCGATAGAACAGAAAATAAATTTTATGGTAGCGTTCATGCTGCCGCGGCTGCTTCTAGTTGTAGTAGCGCTCATCAGTATCCTGGAACCACTCCAATTATTGGACCTCCCTTGAATTACATTCAAAGACGATTGCAGGTAAATTAAAAATCAGCACATCAAAATTCAATCTATCCATTAGATTCATACAAAAAATTTGAATATCACGATAAGTGATCACACGACAACTGATACCACCGACAACATATCCAGCGAACACTCATAGAATAACAGATAATTCATAATAATATACACAATTAATCTCCCGAAATACGGACGGAAACTAATTCTAAACATGAAAACTATATAAACAATCTCATTCTCCATACGCTACATACGAGCTACATTTTTATCGGTTTATTTATTCAAAAGTTATTGCGGTTTGAAAATTCGAAAAATTGAGTTTTATTAAACTTCTATCCGATTTTTGAGCTCGGAGAGCTCAAGATGACACGAAAATTATATTTTTGAGCTCGAGGGGCTCAAAAACTTAATAAGTGCAATTTCAAGCGTTTATGTATAGAATTGGCGGGAAGTTGCAGGGATGGACTTCAGGGTCAACCGTATTCCTAATTTTTTTAGGACTAAAAACTGTAAAAAAAAATTAGGAATACGGTTGACCCTGAAGTCCATCCCTGCAACTTCCCGCCAATTCTATACCTAAACGCTTGAAATTGCACTTATGACGTTTTAGAGCTCTTCGAGCTCATAAATACAATTTGTGTGTTATTTTGAGCTCTCCGAGCTCAAAAAAATAGCTTTTGTATGCACTTTCTGCCTTCGTCGAGCAAAAAAATAGCATACACTCCTCGGGAAGTAAAGTAAGAAAGCCTCAGATCACATGTTTGTTGACCTCGGCTTCGCCTCGGCCAACAATTACATGTGATCTGAGACATTTCTTACTTTACTTCCCTCGGTGTGTAATATACTATTGAGTTTATATTGACAGAGTGGAAAAATTCGGAGTAATTCCGAAAAAACGCTTTTTTCGATTTTCTTTCGTCAACGATAACTCACGAACGAATTAACCGATTTTGACCGGACTAGCGGCGATTGACGTGGTTTTTTGATGTTAAGAGCTGATTAGTTTTTGAAATTGATCGGTGAAGCCGTTTAAAAGATATTCCAAAAAAATCACTTTTGAAAAAATTTTTTTTGTAGTTTTTTTGGCGATTTCTCAAAATTTACCGGTCTGAATCGTTCCAAAGTATATACAAAATCTAAGTTTGGTCAAGCCCTTTCGAATGGCGCCAACCGCGATCAAATCGGTCAAGCCGTTCAAAAGTTATAAGAGGTTTACATACATCCACACACACATACATACATACATACATACATACAGACATACAGACACCACTGTGGGGGTAGTCAGGGAAGCTTCCTATGACCTTAAAACGTCGAGATCTGATGAAAACTCGATTTTTGCAAAACGGGGTGAAAACAATAACTTCCCGATTTTTGAAAATCTGAGATTTTTAGCGGGAAGTTAAAAATAGTAAAAAATCAAAATTTTGATTTGGTTGTATTTCGGGCCATAGCTACCACTATGTAGAATATTTAGTTTGAATTTCATTAAGTTCGGCTCAGTGGTTCCGGAGATATCACATACGTAAACCAGAAAAACGTAGTTTTGAAATAAACGCGTTTGAAGTTTTTTTAACAAAAAATCCACATAAGCCTTGTAAAATAACATAGTTGCAATGATCCGATCACTTAGAAATTCAACAATACTTATAGATATATGTACTTTCGAAGAATGTAATAAAAAAAATAATTTTTTCAAAAGTAACAAACCGGAATGATCCCCTAAAATAACTCCGTCTTTCTCCAAACATGCTGAATACGTATTATTGGTGAAAGAAAAACTCTGATTAATTACAATCGAACGATTTATCACAGCGTTGATAATTAATGATCTGATTTGCTTTTAGTCTTTTAGATACTCTAACAGATGTGATGAATTGGGGATAAAGCTTTCTATCTGAGAGCAGTCTATGATTTATTGAACTCTTATATTATATTAAATAATAAAAGTTGATCATTCCCCCTACTTCCGACAATACGATGGTATTGAGGGAGGCTATCAATAGAGGGAGTTGCCAAATGTTTGACAAAACAGATGATTCCGGAACTTTTTTATAGCTATTTACTTGAATTAACTTCTTAACTAACTATTTTTTTAACATTAAAATTAATGAGAGAAAAATCTGAGGTTGAATACCGAGAAACTAGTACTAACAAAAATATCACTCGTATTAAATTTATCATTCTCTTCTGCTAATAGTAACCTAATAGAATCAATCAACAATCAACGTCTAACTTAATAACATAAATGGCAGATATACCCGTTCTGGATGACTATGTTTTTATTGATAACTATTGTCATCAACTACTAAAGACCAATGGCTGATTAATTCCGACTGGTCGTTAATCGCATCTGTCGAGGTAGTTACATGACAGTTTATAATCAAATTATAAAGCAAGTCTACCGGGTTTCCCTGACAGCAACGCGCATAAACCAGTGTTACGTGGAGACATTATTACACTACAAAATTGTGATTCATTTTCTGGATACATGATTATCTAAGCTACTTTATATGAATATATATAACAAATTATATATTAGTATAAAGAAGGGTAGAATCTGAAATTACATCGAAAAGATATATTCTTTTTATTCGAAGCTATAAGATATGTATGCTATATAAGTATATTGTATAAGAATTTCACTTAGCTATTATTTTTTTTCATGTACTGACAAAATTTAAATACCTCCGTGTGATGGATTAATAAGAGAAAGGCTTTTGCCTCAGACAACTGGATTTAAATCTATCTGTAATCGGAAAGCATTAGAAGAATATTTAGACTACTTTTCTACACGGAAAAAAGTAAACTGTGATATTCACTCGGATTCCGGTTAATTTTTATAGTTTCAAACAGTAAAGCGGACATCGGGGTGGCAAAAATATAAATATTACAGAACTTAATGTAGAAAGTATAAAAGCCACAATTTATAATTTAATATCCAAAATAAGTGGTTAGTAGTTGTCACTATAGTAAATAACGACTCTTTCATCTTAAAAAATTACAGTTTCAAACAGTAAAAATTGCCATTTCAATATATAGTCGATATTATGAAGAGAAGGGGGTCTCACTCTGGGAGAATTTAACATTTGTTGATACAGTAAAAATTATACTTTTAAAATATACATTTTACCAGTCCAAGCAAGTCAATAATTAATTACAGTTTGATTTTTAGCGTTGCGTTTAAAATTTACCATTTTACTTTGTAAATATTGACGTTGCTTGTATTAGAAATTTACTAACTTTATTTTATACTTTTTACATATCATAAGATCATTTTTTAGGTATGAAATGATAAATATAAAGTCTGAATTCTTAATTATTATACTTAACATTTTAGAACATTACATAGCGAATATTACTGTTTGAAATAGTATCTTCTTCCATGTCAAGATTAAATTGTAACGTTTAAATGGTAAAAATTATATAGTGAATAATAAAATCACGATTTTACTGTTTGAAATAGTAATTTTTAGCAGTTGATCATTACTTATAATAAATCGACTGTTATTTATTACAGTTAACTTTTTTCCGTGTGGCAATCTATAGTTTAGTTAACGTACCTCGCTCTTGTATCAGTTGATCCTTACTTATTATAAATCGACTGTTATTTATTACAGTTTACTTTTTTCCGTGTATCATTATTAGCAGTTTCATTATACCAACTTTTTTTTGTAAATCAGTGAATTTTCTATAAAAATATATATGTCAGTTGAAGCTGAACGCTTAATTGTTTACAAATTATAAAATTAAAAAATTATAAAATTTGTGGTACCACAAGCTTCCAGCTTTATTAGTATTCAAGTTTGATTGATTCTCATCGAACTAACGTGATGAAGAGAATAAAACTCTCAAATAATAAAGGGAAGATGGAATGTCCATCTGTTGGCTTGTATTAGATTCACTAGTCATTGTGACCAAATAGGCTGAATAAAATCTAATTTAAATATATACGCGGGTCACTGAAAAAAAAAATACTTATTTTATAGACGATTACGAAGGTCAAGTTCAAATATGAGCTCAATCGGTCAATTAATTTAGAAATTACAGCATTTTAACATTTTGAAAATTTGAATATTTCATACTCTCACTACTTCTCCTTCAAATAACTTTTGAACGCATCGAGACATTCGATTTCTGTAAAATGCATCTGTAAGCTAAGAAATTAAGCTTCAATTTACATGTTTTTTTTTAATTAAAAATATCCATCTCAGGATCATTTTTAAGAAATTTTATTTTTGCAGTCGTTTTGTCCACAGAAATGAAATAAAATTAAATCTCCTTCCATTTCGGATGCTGGATGGCTTCATTTTTTTTCAATTTCGTTTTTCGTTCAAAAATGTGTTGATACATTTGAATAATAATGTTGTATGATATATCGTGTAATTTACGTTGTGAGCTTTATTTCAATGTATGATACTTGAAAACTGAAGAACGAAACTTTAATGAGAATTAAACGAATAAGCTTACCCAATATTCCACATTCCTGAAAAGATTGTCGCAAATATTTAGGATACACTGATGTACACCCAATGTATATGCTTTCCCGAATAAAGTATGCTTCACTTATTAAATAATTTTAAATTACCTACATGGCCTACAAGTGAAAAGAGTGTAATATTAAAATAATTGTGATTTGTTTTATTAATGTTGAACAATTTTGATTTAAAGTAGTATCATTCAAACTCAATTAAGGATATATTATGGTTAAGAAATCGAAAAGCAAAAACTTAAATATGTGAAAAATTAAAAACAACTTTGATGATTAAAAAGGAAAAAAAAAACAGAAAATAGCTTGATCTTGAAAGTTGAGACTAAAGCACAACCCAAGCGCTATATGAGTGCAAAACAAAACACACATTTATTGGCAACATTACTAAAAGTTTTTTTTTCATTTTGAACATTAAACTCACTCTGATTTTAATAATATTCATTTTACGTATGATTAATCCAAAATAATCTGTCAAATATTGACTTATTTTGTTAATGGCTGTCCTTTTTTTTTACTTTATAGGCTGCTCAATACTTATGTCCAGCAATATTTCCATGGGTAGATCGAGGACCTGCGACTGAAGCCTCGGGTCGCTACGTCATGAAGATGGTTGCCATACTCTATTTACTTATTTTGATATTCGACTTCATTGTAGTGGTCGGTATGGGCAATATGGGCACTTTTACGACAATTCTCCTATTTTCATTTTTGTTTGCCATCATTGGAGTATTGTTAGCAATAAGTAGAAAACCCCAGAATAGGTAATGGTCATTTTTAAATATTTAAACTTTTATTCTGACAATTAATAATTGAACTAATAAATAATAAAATCAACTTTTAGGAGCTCAGTTATGTTTATGACTCCAGGACTTCCGTTCGTACCAGCGATAGCAGTAACCGTTAACATTTACCTCATATTCAAACTCAGTATTTTGACTCTAGTTAGATTTACTATTTGGATGACGTTGGGTAAGTCATAATGATTATTTTTGATGGAGCAGTCGAATAATATCTTCTTTTTTTTGTTTTTTAGGTTTTATTGTGTATTTCTACTACGGAATAAAGAATAGCACTTTAGAGCAAAAAGATTCGGATGATATTATTAATTCCAGCGAAAATGTTGGAAATATAGAATTAAAAATTACTGACCATGCAGGCGTATCCCCATCTCATCGACACGCGAATGAATCAGACCGCAGTATTTACGAAGGACAACAACTAGATGCTTTTGGGCAGCCTGTATTTGGTAGCACTAACTTTGGTGGTAAACCAAGTAATTCCGGTGCTACAGCGCAATTACATTCTACATCCCAAGGTTTTTTTGTTCCTGAAAATAATTTTCCCTCTTGGGATGATTAAGGATAAAATTAAAATATTTACGCTGGCTAGCATGTATTATACGCGTTAACGTTGTGGCCATAATAAAAAATACGAGATAATTGTTTTACGTGAAAGCAAGTCTTATATTAATGCAGACGGGTTTTTCTTAATGAGATGTTACTCCAAATGAGATTAAAGTTTATGCCTAGGCGTTCATTAATTAATCCATCGACTTCCATTCATTTTCACTTGACGTAAGATAATGGTATTAATAGATACAGTTTATTATTACCAATTTTTATTTTATAGTGCAAAAAAAACCAATAATTTATTTCGAGTTTCTCATGAATATATGTTGGTTTATCATGTTTTAGAAGCCCTTTCTAAATATGAGCCCAAATAAAACATACCTATTATTGGGGTTGCTCAAAAATTTTTTTACGTTCAAAGAGATGTACTACACTGATAAAAAAAATTAACTTGACTCAAGAGCCAAAATCTTAAACAAAGAATACCATTTTGAAGAAAATGATTTTGTTAAGTCAAGAGAATAAATTCTTGAGACAAGAAAAATTTACTTAAATCAACAATAATTTCTTGACTCTAGAATTTATTCTCTTGATTCAAGAAAATCATTTTCTTCAAAATTCTTGGTTCAAGATTTTGGCTCTTGAGTCAAGTTAAATTTTTTATCAGTGTAATAACAATTATCAAGTGATTAGAAACTATGATAGCTGTTTGAATTGAACGCATCAATTGCTAGATAAATATTTGTATTTCTTTCATATTTTTTGGATTTTATTATGTTTTTTACTTTTAAATTTAAAGCTCATCGTTTATTTAAAATGTTAATTTCATATAAATAAATTGAAAATCTTTTAATACTCTTATTTACAGGTAGTCTAATTAAGAAGTTGATATTCTGTGAAAAATACTTCCAATTATGTTAAAAATATTAGGAATAGTTTATTAGTTTCCAAATAAAATTCTGAAAAAATGGTTTTTTCGATTTTTCTTACCCACAAAAATTGCAATTATTATTAACAAAGAACAAGAGGAGAAAAAAAGTATCATTTTATGAGAAGCATATTAAAATCCGTTGTGAAAATTTCCAAATAAATCAATTTTTCACCACTCCAGAAATTTTTCAAGAATCTCAAGCAATCTTTGAAAATTTTTGAATACAGCTGATTTTTGGAGCGTGCTCTTAGAACATGATAAACTAGTGTTTTTTAATAGCAAACTTAAAAAAAAACTTTTTTTGCGTCACCCTTAATATACACTGTTAAATAAATTTTATTGTTAATTAAATTAATTAAAAACAACAAAATAAGTAAAAGCAATTGACTGTTTGCACTTAAAACGTAATATATTATAAGAATAATGTGGAATGTAATTGAATGAACGATAAAATGTTATTAAAATTTTTCCATTAAGTTTTACGTAATTATGTATAATCTCTTTCATAAATTTGAATATTATAAATTATAATCTTATAACCAAGCTTCTTATTGAAATGCAACAATTTTTGAATTAATGAAACGATTAAAACAAAAAAAAAATAATAATTAACTTTTGGAAACAACTTATATGAATTTTCTAGATTTAAGCACGTTTTATGTCTGTTAAAGAGTGAGTCATGATTATACAGCATGTGGACAGAAAAATTAATATATTAATATAATCGATATAAAAAAAAATATTAAACAAGTAAAATTTTAATCGCCGATATTAATAAAATAATAATTAACTATTTGTTATAAACAATCTACGTAGATATACTGCCCAATATTATCGCACATCCATTACTATTGAAATTTGAAAGCTTTGATTCTATATTATTTACCGATAAAATATTCAGCATATCAATACTGTTGGCTGGGACGACAGTATTATTTTTAGTGGCAAATTTACATTTTTTAAAAGTAATTCTTTTCTTTTAAAGTACATAAAACGAAAAAATAATATGCATATCAAGTTAAATTTCTGAACTAATATTTATAATACTTAGATTGTTCATTGTTTGAACATATTGATGAAAAATATTATTCCATTTATGACAGAATATTTTTAAAAAGCCACAAAATTTTATCTTTGAAGAAAACAGTGCCTGTACCTTAATTCTATTATATTAAATCTTCTATTCTGGATTACTTTAGTGGAAACAAAACCATGTAATAAATGTACAAGTCTTTTAGTTTAGGCATGAAAAATTCACTACAGTTTAATCAAAATTCAGGCAAAATAGTAACATGTAGTCGTTAATGATACTCATTTCAAAATTTTAAGGTATTCTAAGACTACACAGTTTTTTTTGGTTTTTATAATCATAAAATATGTTAAATTATTTCACTATAGTTCCAGTTTGCTCAAATTATAATTTAAATAATAAATTCGCTTTTGATTTTTTTAATTAATTTAAAAACGCTTGAAATAGAAACTTTAACTTTTCGGATTTTATTAAGATTCTTGTCAAGATTTATAATGCGCTCAAGCTTTTTTTTATACATATGTATGTTACTTCAAAAATTATTCAGATCATGACCTAATTAAATTCAAATATTGTCATTTGCTTTTTAAAAATAGAAAAGAAATTATTTCACTTGGATCGTTTCTTCATTACAACAATTTTACAGTGAAAACAAGTGCAGCCAAATTTTTTTTTTCAGAGGTGCAACAGGAAATGGAAAGTGAAAGTTTTTAACACACTAATGTGATAATATTTCATTTCTGCCCTCAAGCTTGTTGCACCTTCTAGTTACTTCGTTGTTTTTTTTTACAAATTTTTTTCTTAAATATTTGAGAAGTTGAGTTTCAAAAGGGTACCTTTCATTTTTGATTAATCGAGACAAAAAACTGGTTATCTTCGATTATAAATATTTTTATTGAACTTTTTTAATTTAGCTAATAAAATGCTATCGATTATAAAGCTACAATTCGATTTTCATTAAGAAATCTTTATAATTCTCAAAGTAATTAATATTTAAAAGTTAAAAAAAACTGCTCTTTTAAAATACGAAAAGATAAGATTAATACGTGACCATATTAATTAATAAAACTAATTAATAATCAAAAAAAGTCATTAAAAATAGATTCTCTCTACGGCTCTTTTTTCAGTCCGACATTGCATAGGTGAAATTACTTCTTTCTATTAAACTGTAACTAAACATATCAAAACAATTGTTATCCTTAGTATGGCTATGCTCAGAGTCATGATCTTTATAATTTAAAGTTTGATACTCCATACATACATATGTTTCTTTTACTAATAATGATTTGTATACACGTGTAATTATCAATTACAGAAAAAAAATACGTTAACTTTTTATTTCAAAATAAATTTGAGTAAAACTAAATATAGTTCAAAAAATAATATTTATAATTCAATTATGTTTAGATTGCTGATTAGAGTTTATGCATAAAGTATGATTATAAAAATATAAATTTTCTTTATATAATTGGCTGTCGCGAAAAAATTAATATAATTACAAAATATGACTGTACGCAGTAATTGATACTTACATTGATACTTTAGTTAGATTTTCAAATTCTTAGGTAGGAGGAAGAGGCCTATTTAAATATAATTATAAAAAATAAAATTTTTTAACAAATGAATATAGAAGAAATATTCGTTAAAGAAAGAAAAAAAATAATGTTTCATTTATCAAGTAATGTTTTTGACGAAATATTATAAAATTTATGATCGAGAATCAATAATCAGGTGGCTCCATAAACCAATACAAATTTTGTAATTTATGTTTCGTTGGCACGTAATACTATCCTAATTTATGCACTCATCATTCGTAAAATGATGGCTGACCCATACGCTAAAGGGCGTGTGCTTTTTGTAAATATTAAATTTCATTAATCCTATCATTTAATGTAGCTATTACTTTTAAAGAACGATAATTGACTCGAATATAATCGCTAACCTACACTATATAGGAGTTGTTCTATACAAATTTCCTGTGCATGTATTTAATAAAATAAAAGTCTTGCTAAATTTTTTTTCATTCATCTTAGCAGCGTACCGGGTCACTATTTATTTCATATTTTCCGAATGTATATTTGGCGTAAGATACTACCATATGGTAGTAGGAACATATGTTCCTAGCGCATGACACTACCGTGTCCCTAAATAATGTAAAAGAAATTAATTTATTTTTAAAGTAGATAAATTAGAAATATAAGTTCTACGTTTTTCGTCAATTAATGTGTAGTGTATTCATTGAAAAGACTATTATTTATATTATTGGTGAATCAGACTTGAATTTTTTAGAGTAATTTGAAAAGTACCTAAACTTATGAATTTACAGTTCGAGTACTGAGATGGAATTTTTTCTTTTTTTGACGAAGAATATTCTTATAAAAGATTGAAAGATTAGATAGAATATCAAATTGATAAACTCTGATTTCAATATCTCTTTTTCAATTGACCATAATAAAGAAAGAAAAAATGAAAATAACATCATGATTTATTCAAATTATGTTTTTAACAATAGTGAGAAAGAATAAATTGAAACATGTAAGCAAACGAATCGAGTAAATACCTTTTTGTAATTTAAATTGTGTCGGGGCTTGGAAAAGCTGTATTGTACTTCCATTAAATTGTTTAAATTTAATTTGTTAATATAATTTTATACTATGGCATGTACGTATATGCAATAGCCACTGATCTCTTACATTCAAATGGTTGTACATGTTTGGAAAGATAGTTATAGATTATCGAAAGCGTAAGTTATCGCGTCGAATATCTATTATTATTCATTGTAAAGAGATTATGTCTTCTCTTTGAATTTTAACGCACAGATATTATGAAATTGGTTAGTATACAAGTTATATTAACATTACTACATATATATTTATATATATCGTTTAAAATAGTGTATTATGAGCGAATATTGAACAGAGGAAGAAAGTAATGAAAATGAATAAATTTGAATTGTAAGAACATAAATGATAAAAAAGTAAATAAAAAAAATGTTCATCTCCACGTATCACAATATATGTTCGTTTAACAGAAAAAATACATATTAAAA